CCCAGGAAATGCAAATGAAAACCACGAGATGTGGCCACTCCATTTAAAAAAGAAAAAGAAAAGAAAACTAAAAAAATTTTTTAATGCCTAACCAAAAACTGTCCCATTTCAGAGCAGACCCCTGCCAGGGGCACCCCCAAGTCCCCTCTCTCTCTCCCCAGAAACCCACCCACCCACTTGTCCAATTTTGAGGGCTGGGATCTGTGAAAAGGGTGGTGCGGAATCAGGCACCTTTGTCTCCCCGTCCCCTGGGTCAGCCTCCAGGGGAAGGCCCCACTAAGTGGAAAACGATTTGCATTTCCAGCACAAAGGGTGCTCTCTGCCTGGTGGCCCGCCACCTCCTCTCAAGAGCCCCAGAGCCCTGGGTGAAGTGGTCTGGGCCAGGAGGGGCCCAGAGGCTGGCTGTCTGGGCGGCCATTGTTCCCTTTGTCTGCGGGAGCAGGACTCAATCTTGCTGCCCACGTCGGGGCTGACAGGCTGCAGACGCGGAGCTGAGCCCGCCGCAGCCCCTCCTGAGCAGCCATGGCGGGGCCTGCTGAAGGGCCTGGCTCTCTCTGCTGCTCTGGGGCCTGGGTCCGGGAAGGTGTTTGTGGCTGATGGACCCCGGGGGGTGGGAAGGCCAGGAAAGACAGGGCTGCCTCTGTGTGGCAGGGGACAGAGAAAGGCCTGGGGTTCAGGTGCAGAGGGAGAGCAGCGTGGGTGGGGCTGGGGGCCAGCAGCCACCCACCCACCGGTTCCCACCTGCTCCCAGCAGGGTTCCAAGTGCCTGACTCCAAATGTGCACACAGACTAAACCAAGAGGCAGCGTGGAGCAGGCCTCCAGGAAGATGGACCAGAAGACCTTCCCTATTCCTTCTCTCACATGCAACTTGAAAACCTGGATAATAAGAGACTCTGAAGAGCAGGACAGTGGGGGGTCCCTGGGCTTCCTCTTTGCCTCCTATATTTTGGATTTATTGCTGGAGAAGCCAGAAGACCAGAGATGCCAACAGGTGCAAATGTAAAAAAAAAATAATAAAATAAAAATCTCAAGAAAAGTCTGCTCTCTCTATCCAAAGGACAAGAAAAGGGAACAGAAAATGTGTAGACAAAATTGCTCTCCCCCCAGCAAACACCTTGGGGAAACCACAGCCCCAGCCCCACCCCTGCCAGCAGGCTGAGAGGAAGAGGAGACTCCTACCCTGGGGACCGTGTGACGAGAGCCATCACCACCACCACCCAGTGTCACGTGCTGTGGTTTGTGTGTGGCTTATCCCCCAGAGGCTCATCTGGGGGTTTATCCCCCAGAGCTGAACCAAGAAGGCCACCCAAGTTTGGACTTTCAGCCTCCAAGTAAACCTCTTTTTTTTATACAGAACCCAGCCTCAAGTATTTGGGTATAGTAGTGGAAAACGGACTTACAAATACCCAACCCAGCAGTAACAGGCACCCTTCACTCTCCTCCTCTCTCTCTTCCCCTGGGATGATAACAGAGCAGAGCTCATGGTCAGCCACATGCAGTGGTCAGGAGGCCATCCCCCCAAATATCCATGGAGACTTTGTGGGGAACAGCAAAGAGGCATTCCTGCCCCTTCTGCCAGAGTGGTACCAGCAGAAACCTAGGAGGCAGCCAGGACCCCCCCCCATCCCAACAGGCAGGAACAAGGAGGCAGCACCCTTTAATGGAGGCCAAGCAGAGAACATGGGCCTCCATCCTACCTGGTAGGAAAAAAAATGGAACCCTCTCCTCCCCACACTGAAGAAATGTCAGCGTAGCCCAGTACAAGCAGATTCGATAAGATCCAGTCTCAACATAAAACCCAAAATGCCCAAGATTCACAGAAGAGTCACTTATCATGCAAAAAGTTTTTTAAAAAGTCTAGTTCAGAGGAAGAAAAGAAAATCATCAGGTGACAATGTTGAGATAACACAGACTTTAGAATTATCTGAGCAGATTTTGAAGCATTAAAAATTCTTCAACCAAGCCATTGTGAACATGCGAAAAACACAGAACATTCCAGCAAAGATTCAAGAGACCCAGGGAACAGGATAAAGCCAAGAAGCCCTACGGCAAGAAACATCCTCACTAAACTCGTGACCGCTGCCGGCCCAGGAAAGCTCCTTACCCAGCAAGAAGCGACACTTCTCTGGAAGGGAAGGCACTGTAGATCTGTCCTAAGAAATCCCAGAGGCCAGGGGAGGGACATGATATGCTGACAGAAAAGGACAGTCAGTTACGGAGCCTGTGTCCAGAGAAAGGATCCTTCAGGAATGAAGAAGAAATCCAGACATTAGGGAATGAAGAGAACGAAGGTCAGAGTTTGTTTCCTTCCACCAGAACCTACTTGAAGGTTCTGCCACCACCCAAGAGCACCACAGGCAGGGGAAGGGGGCCTTTGGGGACATTCAAATTCCAAACTGTAGCACATGCAGACCACAAGGACGGCTTTCCTTCTGACGTGGGGGATGGAAGACACTTTGCTTTGGAAAGGAGGTGCTGAAGCATTCCTCCAACCTCAGCACCCAAATACACAGCCCGTCTGTGGAGGGTCAGCCACTACCGGCATGAGCAGGTCCAAGGTAAGAACAAAGAGGCCTCTTCACCTTCAAAGAAGCAGACTCGAGAGAGAAGGTCATTGGCTTCCACCATCAGGGGAAAATAGGGGGCAGATGCATGAGTCCAGCACAAGGAACTCTTATAAGGGGCATGGTTTGGTTTGTTAACATCCCCAAGGTGTCTATCAAGTGCCTCCAAGACGCCCGTCACTTCTCATAGCAGGGCTTTGTTAAGGTGCCATCTCTGGGGGGGATAACACTCCTGGGAGTGCCACTGTTGATCGCACTTTTCATAGGCACTGAATGTTTGTGTCCCTCCAGAAACATCCTGCGTTGAAATCCCAACCCTGGACATGATCCTATTCAGAGGCGAGGTCTTGGGAAGTGCAATTAGGTCACGAGGGTGGGAAGCTCGTCTTGGGACCAGAGTCCTTAGAGAAGACAGAGAGCTTGTTCCTCTGTCTCCACTCTCCTGGGGAAGGCCACCACCTGCAAACCAGGAAGAGGGCTCACCAGCCACCAGAACAGCCGTGGCTCTGGATGTCCCAGCCTCCACAACTGTGAACATCAGTGTTGGTTAAGCCACTGGCGTACAGTGACTTGATATAACAGCCTGAGCTAATACCGGGCCTTTTACACAAGTTAAATTACCATAACTTCAGTGGAAAGCACAGAGGCTTAAAGATGTTCAAAATCTCCAAGCCACCAAGTCCACTGCAAGGAAATTAGCTCCTGAAACAATTGGGGATGAGCATAAAAGTGTATGATTTATTCACAAGCATGTTCCCAATTCTTTATAAAATGAAGAAAATTTGTAAGTAAATGTGAAATTATAGAGTATCCATCCATTCGATAGAAAATTATGTTCCCACTTAAAAAATCATGTTTTTGACATAAGAAAATGCTAACAACCAAAAATAACACTTAAAAAATAATGGCATGTGTAATCTGGGATTTGAGCCAAACTTGGGGAAAATCGCAAGGTTTTCAATATCCTTCTATTTAAAGAGGTGGTTATTTTTTTCTCCCTCATTCAGGATCTCTCATCTTTCTCAACGGAGTCTTATAGAGTTCTTTTTAAAAGACTTGTAATTTTACTTTGTTTGTTTCTAGTATTGTTTGTTTTTCTATTGTGAATGAAAACATCTTTCATCGTATTTTTAAGAGGCTATTGATTTTTAACAGACTTCCTCTTATAAAAATTTCAGGATTCTTTCTGTTTCTTCCATTGTTCTAGAAGTCAGCATAACAGAATGAGGAAGAAACAAAATGGGTAATAATTATAGGAAATTACAGTGATTATAGGAATAGTAATTATAGAAAGCAATAATTAATGAAAATGTAGAATCTACAATAATAGTAGTATATGAAACAACACTGGCTATGAGCACATGTTTTTAAAAAATCTACCCACTGAGCAGACGGTGTAGCTCAGTGGTAGAGCCCTGGCCTAGATCCCTGCAGGTCCCTGAGTTCCCTCCCCAGCACCTAAAAAAAAAAAATTTATTTAAAAGTCTATCTATCTGCAAAACAGCAAGCATAGAATAACACACCCAAAGATGCTAACCACCTTCCCAAGGCTCTCAGCTCTATCAGATGCTCTTTTCACATAATATTTTGTAATGCATATTAACCTATTGAAATGAAAGTCATAAGTAATACTACTTGCCCACACAAATCATCACTAAAGCAATATTTTCCAAAGCTGTATGTGAACATGAATAAAAAGGGAGTATTTATAATTTTTAAAGTTTTTTGTGTTTCTTTTTTTTTTTCTTCCTGTTCCCCCCACCCTTGGTACCAGGGATTGAACCCAGGGGTGCTTGACCACTGAGCCACATCCCCAGCCCTCTTTTTATTATTATTTTATTTAGAGACAGGGTCTCACTGAGTTGCTTAGGGAATTTTGCTAAATTGCTGGGGCTGGCTTTGAACTCACAATCCTCCTGCCTCAGCCTCCTCCAGAGCTGCTAGGATTACAGGTGTGCCCCACCATGCCCAGCTTTAAATTGTTCCTAAGTTCATACACTACATAAACGCTGTGACGCAGTTACATTGGAAAATAGCAGTGCCCCATAAATTCCTAAAATAATTCTTAGGTGAAGGAACTGTCACCTTTGAATACCGCTGTATTTATTTTGTTTGGGTTTGGTTTGTTTATTTGTTATTTTAAAGAAAGTGTCCAGGGTATGAGATTATGATTTTTTTTTAGTCTTCTATAAAAATGTTCCTTCTTAAGTGAATGTCTATTGCTTTTATATATGGGGAGAATTAGTGTTTGAGGAGGGTATCACACAATGTGTTATGTACGGGGACACTGTCTCTAAGAGGACAATCCCAAACTGGCTCAGTGGTATACACCCACGGTCCCAGGCAGATTGCTTGAGCCCTGGAGTTCAAGGTCAGCCTGGCAACCCAGCAAAACTCTGTCCCAAAGGAAAAAAAAAATGGTAGAAGCCCCTTACCTCCAGTGAGTATGCTTTCCCAATCCCATCTCCTGCTCCGGTGACCACTGCAAAAGGCAGGAACAATTTTAAACAAGGGAACAGAGGATTCATCTGTATACATTCCTCCTTCTCCTGGGCTACCCTGTCTGGCCAGCCTGGGGTCTAGGATACTCAACGCCCACAGCGGCCTGGCTCCTCTCTGCTCCAAATTCCCAGCCCTTGGCCAACCCCTACTAACCCTCCGGGGGAAGGGTGAGTTGTTTTGAGGGTCGGGTTTGTTTCTTTGCTGTTGTGTTGTTTAAGGACCTGGTGAGGCAATGAGAAATATACTGTGAAATGTGCAGAGAGCCTCAGCCAGGAAACAATGTATCCAGACCTGAGGATTGAAACAGGGGACGCCACATGGTCAAGGGCAAGCAGTGCGCCCTGTAATCACTCCCATGCCCAGTGCTTCCACCCCGCCTCCATCCCCACCCCACAGGGCAGCCTGTGGAAGATAAGGGACCTAGCAAAGAGGAGAATATAGAAATGCTCAGAGGGAATGCGGTGGCCTGAAGGAACTTGGAGAATTTGCACTCCATAGAACTTTCTATTAACATACAACCAATAGGTCTTGTAGTCCTGTTGTCTCCAGCATGGCAGAGCTGTTAGTGATGAGGTCCAGAATGAGCCTCATTCACGGGAATGTCCCAATTTGAACATTCACTGCATTAAGTACACACACACCTGTGAATGGCCTTGACACCAACATTTCAAGGCCAAGGTACTCGCTCAAGGTTGTTGTACATCTTGCCTTCCCGCCCCACCCTCCCACCCCCACCCCCCGCGGGGAATCTTCACAATCACCCGCGTAGTTAAGGTAATGACAGGTATGATGATGGTGATCACGATCACTTTCTGCATGTACTGTTCTTCATTGCATGCTCAAAACAAGCCTAGAAGGTGTCACGATCCTCTGTTCATCACTGAGGAAGCTCCAAAAGAGGAAAGTTCTTCATTTGATCAAGGTCTCACTGCTAAAACTGAAGACCAAAGGATTTGAACTCATGCTACCTGACTTTGGGACCACAAGCCTATACAGACATACCAGGGAAATAACTTAGGAAATCAAGCTTGGAGCTCAGGGTACTCTCATCTGTAAAGTTGAAAACTTCTATCTCTAGTGACGGGTTTTCCTGTTGTCCCCACTTGTCCTCCCTGAAGTCTACCTATGCCTCAGCAACATTCTACTCTTGCTGGCAATAACTCTATTCCCTCTTACTCATTAAAAACAGGTTAGGCTGGCCAGATGTGGTGGCACACACCTGTAATCTCAGCAGCTTGGGAGGCTGAGGCAGAAGGATGGCAGGTTCAAGGCCAGCCTCAGCAACTTAGCAAGGCCCTAAGTAACTTGCTGAGACCCTATCCAAAATTAAATATTTTTTTTAAAAAAAGGGCTGGGGATGTGGCCCAGCTGTTAAAGCTCCCCTGGTTTCAATCCCCAGTACCAAACAAAAAAAAAACTTTTTTTAAAGATTAGGTTTTACACCTTGAGTCCACAAATGGTCAAATTCTCTGTCCATTTGAACTTTTTTTTGTATCCTACATCAGGGGGCAGAGGCTAAGCAGAGTCCCGAGTCCACCCGGTGTGTGAGCGTTTGAGTCTGTGTGGAGCAGGGCGTGTGCGTCCAGAATAGCCAGGGCTCAGCACTCGGTGAGTTCACTGGAGACAGCACACACACACACACACACCCCGCAGGCAGCATGGGTTATAAATCCACTTGTCATTGTAAACAATGTTCCGTGTGGTAATGTTTTTAAATTTCCATTGCTATGTTTGTAAAGTTGCCCGGTTTAGCAAAGAAGGATACAGGATGCCCCGTTAATTTGAATTTCAGGTAAAAAACAAATGATATTTTAGTATAATGCGTTCCGTGCAATACTTGGATTGCAATATATTAAAAAATCAGAACTTGTTTATCTGAAACTCCATTTTAACTGGGTATTCTGTGTTTTTCTCTGAAAGCCCCATAACGGTGTGACAGTCTTTCCCATTTAGCCTGGACGATATTTCTTTTTTTAAAAGATTTTTTGTTTTGTTTTGTTTAATACCTTTATTTTTATTTATTCATTTTTATGTGGTGCTGAGGCTCGAACCCAGGGCCTCACACATGCTGGGCGAGCGCTCTACCTCTGAGCCCCAGCCCCAGCCTTGGATGGTATTTCTAAAGACCTTAGCATTTCCTTCAAGGAGATGCTAAAGCCGTGACCTCTTGGTCTGCACCTTAACCCCAGTCAGGGGCTAAAATCCCACATGGTGGTTCCACCAGACAAATCCCGCGGGGTGACAGTCAGCACTGTGATCAGTGAGAACCAGGCCCAGGGGCCACATCTCACATCTTGAGAACACAGCTCCACAGCGATCTCCATGGCCTTGATTTTGCAATACCCTTCCTTCATCAGGGGGCTTGGCCAGTCTTATTTTTTAATGAAGTAAATTAACATTATTTGTATTTCAGAATTTTGAAATACCCCTTAGCAACATGGGTATAACCTAGGGTCTAGGAATCTAGAGATGTGGATACAGAAGTTTCTGCCTTTGTTTATTAATTGATATCATCAGAGAGAGACCATCACGCTAAGAAGAAGAAAACCCAGGGGGTGACGTTGGGGGGACAGGTGCACAGCAAGAGTTGAGGAGCCTTCTACCACATCTTGCTTTGTAGACAATTCTGATTTCACTCATGCTTTCTGGACTTCCCAATTAAATCAGATTTAACTGAAATTCCCAAAGGATGGAGATATACCTATGAGAAAAGAGGCACTATATCTTTGGGGACATAAATAGGAATAAGCAGGAATAATAAAATAAATGAGAGATGGACAGTTCCCCTTACCTGCCCACTGTCCCATCGACTGCAAGAAAGACCTTGGCAGAACTTTCCGGAAGCTCAGTAAAATGCATTTGCAGAATCTCACGCACTTTGCCAGGCCGGCCAGGCACACCAGCAGCCCGAGGAGAATGAAGAACTGGTCCAGAGGCTCCCCCATGACTGTATGGCCGCAGGTGCTGTCTCAAGCCTGGCCCCGTCCCTGTCCTGGGGTGGGACCACCTAGGGGACGGCACATCTCCTTCTGGGAGTCACTGGGTGCATTCCATTAACTCTGGGACATTTAGATTAAAGTAACATCTTCACACAACCTCTGATTCATGGGCTTTTGAATGAAGTCTTCTTTCTGATATCTTCAGAGCACTGTTGGGCTTTGTTACTGTGGGGAAGCTGGTGGCCCTGCCTGTAATCCCAGTGACTCGGGAGGCTGAGGGAGGAGGGCCACACATTCAAAGCCAGCCTCGGTGACTTAGTGAGGCCCTAAGCAACTTAGGGAGACCCTGTCTCAAAATTAAAAAAATTTAAAAAGGGCTGGGGATGTGGCTCCAGGTTCAAGGGCCCCTGGTTTAAAAAATAAAAATTTAAAAAGTGGACATGAAGGAAAACAAGACAATGAAGAAAGGGCAGCCCAGAGTTCTGGATTCGGGAACTGCTATGGTTTGTTCTCACAACAACTCTGTGTTGGAAGCATTGCCCCAGCATGGAGACGTGAGAAGCAATGGAACTTTAGGTAAGGCCTCGTGGGAGGTCCGTGGGTCCTTAGGCAGAGGGGTTTGCCCTTGGAGGGGAATACTGACCACCTAGAGAGTTCTCTCAAGAACAAGTGGTCATCAATGCCTGACCCCAACCCTTGAACCTCTCTGAGTTCCTGTTTCAAGCTGTGGCTGCTGCTCTGTTGTAACCCACCATACGGTGGTGCAGCCCAGGGGGCCCTCACCAGAGCCTGCACCATGCTGGTTGGACTTTCAGCCTCCAAAACTGTGAACTAAATCAGCATCTTTTCTTTATAAAGTTAGCCTGCCTCCGATATTTTGTTACAGTAATGAAAAACTGGGTGATACAGAAACCAAAAAGGATGCCAAATCAAGTCACTCATGGGTTTATTCAACAAGTATGTGCTGACTGCCTACAGATGGTGGCCCCTGTTCAAGGCCCTGGGAATGAAACAGTAATGAAGCAGGGTCTCCATCTTGGAGCTCCGATTGCAGCATGGGAGACAGAGGAGGGGAGCAGCCAGGCCCTCGTGGTGAGGAGTTTGAAATTTAGGCTGAGGGCAGTAGGAAGCCGCTGCAGAGGCCAATGGGATTATACCTCCCAAAGGTCACGGCCTGCTGCGGGAAGATGGCCGGCCAGAGGCTGATGGAGATGGAGGTGGTCCGACAACCCAAGCAGGGGAGGTGAGGAGACTAGGAAGCCATCTGCCTGCATCGGGGCTTGTTTCTTTTTTCCTTTCACTTATTTATTTTTGATTGGTGCTTTATCAACACACATCAAGGTGGAATTCACTGTTGGCGTGTTGATATATGCACCGAACATGACTTTATTAAATTCATTCCACATTTCCTCCCCTTTCCCATCCCTCCTCCTCCTTCAGTCTCCATCTCCTTCTTCTGTTCCACTGGTCTTCCCTATGTCTCTATGACATCCAGTCTCCACCTCCTATTTTCCCTTATTTTGCTCCAGCTTCCACAGATGAGAGAAGACATCTGGCCCTCGACTTTCTGCATCTGACTTATTTCACTTAGCACGATGATGGTCTCTATTTCCACCCATTTACCAGTGAATGCCATGATTTAATCCTTCTTTATGACGGTCTTCATCTGTTTCATGTTGCTAGAGCAAAATGCCTGAGGCTGAGTAATTTGTAAAGAAAACAGGTTTATTTAGTTCACGATTCTGGAGGTTCAAGGACATGACACCAGCAGGTCCCGAGAGTCAGCCCTTGACCCTCTGCTCTTTTATTTGCTCACTCCTTGGTGATGTAATCTAATCTCTTGACCTTATGGACTTGCCACATGCTGAGGAAATTCAAATTTATCACTTCAGCTAGTCACCCTGGCTGACATCCAAACTAGCATGACCAACTACCTACTTGATACCATGGTTTGAACACCTATTAGCTGTTACTGAATTTGTCACTATTTAGAAGTCTTTCTGGGACAAAACTAGGAAAACCCTTTTTTTTAAGTGAATATACTTCATGAGTCATTAGAATTCAGGATTATATGAGTTTTACTTAATATACTTTTTTTTTCAGATTTCGGTGGACACAACATCTTTATTTTATTTTATGTGGTGCTGAGGATCGAACCCAGCGCCCCACGCATGCCAGGCGAGCGTGCTGCTGCTTGAGCCACATCCCCAGCCCACACTTAATATACTTGATTCTGTATTCAGATCGTCTTTCTCTGATACTGATCATCTTGAATCCTAGCATTACGTTTGCTTTTATGTCTGGGGTATATATACTGATGTTTCTTTTATTTTTTTAAAGAAATTATATCTTTTTGATTCTTTGTGATTTAATTTTGTTTTATAAATGTGTACAACATCCACATAGTTTCAAAGTCAAATTTACAAAGGAAGATGCATTGAGAAAAGTCTTTGAGTTGATCTTAATGCCCTCTGTTCTAATTGCTTCCTCTCTCTAAAGGTAACCTCAAACTTTTATTCAGTTTTTATTATTCATCCATTTGTGAACACACACATTCATATTTCTAAGAACACATATTCATATGCATACACATCTCTATGAATACACGAGTCATTATGTGTAATCCACACACACGTACATACAAATTTTTACTACTTGTCTGTATTTTTAAAAAATATTTTATTAGTTGTTGATGGACCTTTATTTGTTTATATGTGGTGCTGAGGAGGAACCCAGTGCCTCCTACGTGCTAGGCAAGTGCTCTGCCCCTGAGCCACAACCCCAGCCCCTGTATTTTTTTTTTTTAATGAACTCCAGCACCGCATTCTTTTCTGCATCTTGCTGCTTTTTACCTAACAACAGATTCTGTAATTGCCTCCCAGTTGATATAGATTTCTTCTTTCCTTTTGGTTATTTTTACACCCTCATAGGACTCTGATGAAGATGCACCATACTCGTGGACACCCCTACGCATACTCTTTGATGGTCCCCAGTCTTTTGCTAATACAAATAGTGCTATGATCAGTGGCATTGTGCAGTCCCCCTGGGAGGAAAACTGCTGGCCTGAAGGTAAGTTCTTATGTCCTTAAGCTAAATATCCAAATATGTCCAATTTTCCTTCCTGTTGAACTTTTTGTTGCACATGAATATTCACAGCAACTTTACTTATAAAGGCCCCAAATAAAGAATGAGCCAAATATTGTTGAACAGGTGGATGAGTAAACCAAATAGAATGTGACTTATAATTTAGACAGCAAACTAGGAACTCTACTCAGCCAAAACATCAACTACTAGTACACACAACTGCACAAATACCCAGAACCTTATACTAAGTTGATAAAGCCAAACAACAAAGAATGCTCCCTTTATGCTCCCATTTAAGTAAAATTCTAGAACACGCAAAATAGGTTGGGTGATGGGAAACAAACTAATGGAGGCCTGAGAAAGTGGCCAAAGGAACTTCTTGGGGTGACGGAGACTTTCTAGAACTTGGTTATGATGATGGTCACACACGGGTGAATTCATTTGCCAATATGCACTGGACTTTCAATTAGTGCTTTTAGGATACAATTATGCTTCCATTTAATTTATATCAATTTATATTGATTAACTTAATTATGCTTTAAAATAAACAGTGGCATAGGTAATAGTTGTTGCAGAAGTTTAGAAATATTTAGAGGTGAGAGAGTTCATGAAGGGCTGCAGGTTTCGCGGGTAGAAATGCCGCCTCTCTCTGAGTACCGTGAAGAGCAGCTGTCCTGGCCTGGGACCCCTCTCTGAGCTGCTTCCTCTCAGCTGGGGACTTGGACTCAGATTGTAAATGTCTGAAAGATGTTTCTCTGTTGAGCTAGAGGTCAGAGAGGAACCAGGAACCAAACAAGAAGAGAACTCGTTGTGTTTGGTCAGAAAGCAACTTAAAGAAGCAACTTAAAAAAACAAACTTTCTCCTGAGCTGCAATCAGGCTGAATTTTGAATTCTTCCAAACAATAGAGGGGGGTGATCTATGGCCCTGGCAATGGAGTATGGTGTGAAGCTTTGGGGTTTTTCTACAAGGTGAGAAACAGCATACGATGTTATTTTGATTTTAAATTCTTCCTCCCCATCCGACCCCTGTGATACTGGCGATTGAACCCAGGGGTGCTCTAACACCCCACTCTTTTTATTTTCATTGTTTTTAAGAGAGTTTCTCAGGCCAGCCTCAGGCTTCAGGTCCTCGGGCCTCCACCCCTGAGTAACTGGGGCTACAGGTATGTGCCACCTCATTCGGCTTAAATTATTTTATTAGTGGAGTTGAAGATATTTTTGTAGGTCTAAGGGCTGTTTGTATTTTTTCCCTGTGTTATTTTCTTTTTCCTTCCCCCTGGCCATTTTTCTGGGTGGTTTTTGCTATTTCCTTCTGTGCACAGGTTAAGTATTGATTATCCAAAAATGCTTGGGACCTGTTTTTCTTTTTCCTTTTCTTTCAGATTTTGGAAAATTTGCATGTACAGAACCATATGTCTTGGGGATGAGACCCAAGGGTAAACATGAAGTCCACCTGTATTTCATATATTCTACGCATAGCCTGAAATAACTCTACCCAGAACTCCTTAGCACACTGCGGTTAGACTGCCACAGAGTCGGGGTGGAATCTACCACTTGTGGTTTCCTGTCCGCACTCAGAAATTCGAGAATTTGGAAGCATTTCTGGTTTGGGAGTTTTGCATTAGGGTGCTCAACCTGTATTTCTGGTTTTTCGTTGTTGTGGTGGTGGTTGTTGACCTTGGGCTTGAGGCCTCCTCATTTCACTATCAGGTCCGTGTTCACTAATTCTCTCTTCAGAGGTGCCTGGTCACGGCTCAATCAGAAATGGTCTTAATTTTATTGCTGAAGGTTCTTTTTCTGCCTTTTCAAAACTGGTTCTTTTTTAGAGGATGGTGTTTTTTTCCACGGAGATACATTACTTTTGACTTTGCTTTATTTAGCACAGTTGAATCCTAATCTGCGTCGTATGATCCAATACCTG